GGAGTCTATCCGGAGATGTTATGCTGGAGTACGGGTGATACATAGTTGAGTTACGGGATACAGTGAGGTATCTTTTACCCAATAAATTGTATTTATGATATCTGATTATTATTAGATATATTAGACCAATGTAAGGGTTACGGGTATTCGTGATATGGAGCGATTATGAACCCATTGGTGAGATTAGTGAGAAAATATCATTATTAGATATTGAGTTTGATTGATAAGGGTTATAAACCCTATTACTCGAGAAATACCCGATATGAGAGAATTAGACATGGGCTTAGCCTATTATGATATTTGGTTATTGTTGTTATACGAAGTCACAGGGTATAATTATTAGTGAGTCTAGACAGGTTCAGAGGAAATTGTTATTTGATAAATAGGTGTTACCATGTGACGAACTGATAGATAATGGAAGAGCAAAGCTGAGACTGGAATAAGTCTATCGACTAACCAGTTGAGTAACACTACTCTAACATCCAGTGTTGTGATAATTGTGATAATTATTATATGGTTGATTATTATTGACAATACTTAATTGTTGATTGAGATATTGAGAAAATGGATAATTATTGAGAGATTAGATTATGGATATTTGATTGATAAGTATACTATAATTGAAAGATGGAACTTATTTGATAGATTGGTCATGGAGCGAGATATTGAATATGAGAGAGGTATTGATTATTGATAAGATAAATATTTGAGAGATAGATCATTACTGAGAGATAGATCCCTTAATGAAATTATTATATTGGATATGTGACAATTATGTGTAATTATTATAATTTGCATGAATTGTATGATTTTATGCTTTATCTGATTTATATGATTATGGTATAGTAGTTGTTATTCACTAAGCTGTGAGGCTTATGTTTTTGTGATAATCTGTTTTGCAGGTAGATTTATTGTGACGCCCGGCTCGATCCTGTGCTTGCTGCCAGCACGATCCTTGTGATAACTTCATGTATGCCAGAGTGGCAGTGTACAACAAGATTATTTGAAAAACTTTTAAATGAGGTTTGATAAATTTGGGTGTACCTTGGTAGAAAAATCTGGGCGTTACACACAAGCTCTAGAGTTCTTCAACTCTAAAAACATCCAATAACAGGAACAAAATCCTCTAAAATGAGCTCATACTTGAAACAAGAAGAATAATGGCCAAGGTATGCACTTTATACCTTCAACGACTCAGATTTCTAAAGAGGATGTTGGATCCACGCTTGCTCTTTGCTCCCTTGCTTCCTTGTGACCTCCTTCTTCCTCAAGTTGCACCAAAAACCAAGAAATAAGCTTCAAATCAAAGGAACAAGCTCTCAAATCTTCATGGAGGCTAGGGTTTCGTTTGAAAGGGTTAGAGGCTGAAGAGGATGCCCTAAACCTTGAGTTTAGGGGCTTAAATATGGAAGAAACCCTAAAAGATCATGGGATTGGGCTGTAGTGCTCCTCATGTTGTGGCACACTCCTTGCCACGTCGTGGTGACCAATGGATCCGCGTTTTTCATTTATCATGCACCACGTCGTGGTGCACACTCTGCCACGTTGCGGCGCACCTTGACCAAAAATCTCCAAAACTTTATTTAGGCCTAATATCTCACAACACTCAAAGTCTTAATTCCAAACCCAATGACCTTATCCCTTAGGGCCAAAACTCGATCCTTTGAGACCCGGGACCTTTACTAGGTCAATTACCACCCAAACCTCCAAGTTGGGGTTATTTCAGAACAAGTTGTCACAGAAACGATGAAGTCGTCGGTGATGGAGGTAGTTGTGGGTGTTTGTTCTCTAACTGAAAGAAAAAAGAGGAGGATGAGTAAAAGAGAATTGAGAACAAAGAAGGGGTGGGGTTAAGGTAAGAAAGGAGCAACAACAGTAGGTGGTAGCAGTTCTAGGCTTCCGACGATAGAGGAGGGCAACATATATTTGTGTTTATGGGCTTAAACATGGAGGGGATGGGGCATAGTGATGAAGTAGAATGGGTGGGGGGTTGGTAGTAGGGTTTAATTTTTTTCCTTTGTTTTAAATGAGCTTAATTCTATATATATATATATATATATATATATATATATATATATATATATATATATATATATATATATATATTATATATATAATAAGGGTATAAAAGTCAATTTACATGCATCAAGGACCAACAACGTAAGAAATTGAAACCACAAGGACTATTATGTAGCGTTTCTGATAGTTATCCTCAATATGATACATTTTACAAACCACAAGGACCAAGAAATTTTATCTATTTTTTATAATGTATTTTCCATATAAAATAATAATATATTTTTATTTTTGTTACTTTTATGATAATTCTTTGTTTAACGTAGGTGAGAAAAGCTAATTTGAAAATTATACGTTTTAGAAGTGATTCACATGTAAAATATGAAAACACATAGGTTTTTCATAATTATATTTAGTGATTTAATATGTGAGTCCTTTTTGATCAGCCAATTCCTTGATTATGTTAAACAAATTGTTCTTTGATGAAAAATGTATTGAAAAACATGTTTTTTATTACTCTATCGTTTAAACCCATTGTTAGAAATACATAGTTAAAAATTCAATATGAACTTAGATATGACAGGATTGTGTGGAAATATTTTCTAAAATTTATAATTTTGATCCTATTACTAGTGGTCACACAAAACTAGACTCAAGATAACTCAAAAAATAATAATCTTGATTTCATGTAGAATCAGAGTTAAGAAACACATAATATGATGGTGATTTTTTTTAAAAGGTAAAAAATTTTATAGAATTTTTCCATGTATGTTGAAAAATATATGGATCAGAAGTTTACGATCTACAAAAAAAATATTGTTTGCTTTTTTTAAAGTTTACATGTTAAAATATATTTTTTATTATTTAAATAAAAGAAAATTAAATAAAATCTCCCAACAACCAAACCAAAGTCATTGACACAACCGCTACCGTCCACCATCACTAGTTCACACTGTAATCTTCAAAAACCATCATGTTCCAAATATTAACAAGAACCATTTCAAAACAAAATCAACCACAAACAATAAATAATTCAAAACAAAACGAATAGGATATCACAAATCAAAAGAAAAAGAAAACATATATTAAAACAAACTGACTAAAAAAACAATAAAATAAAATAAATCGAACATCAACTTTAAGAACTTTGAAAAGTATTTTTACACTTATTTATAAAGGAAAAAATAGATGTTTTTGTCTTTTATATTCTAAAAAAATAAACAGTATTATTTTTCATAATGTTTGGTGAAACATAGCACTCGAAACATATATTTATATCTACAAAACCTTAAACATTAACCAAAAAACCAATACAAGTTTTCCAACATTTCCCCATAAAATCTCCAACATTAACGTCATATTCCCATTCCATCCAATGGTCTTAGGCAATTTCCCCATCCATTCAACCTCTACCTACTTCCTATACTCGGTAGTGCATTAGAACAAATGAGGGTCCCACAAGGCTTTCAAAATATCAAATGTTAACTTGGTTTTCTTAATTTATATTTTCATATTTCAAGTTTAAGCATTCATGCCTATGCAAATGAGGGTCCCACAAGGTTTTCAAAATATCAAATTTTATATTTGGGTAAATTACACGTCCCTCACAATTCAGTCTCTATTTTCAAAAATTGCCTATTTGTTTAAAACTTGCACACTTCATCCATCCAGTCATAAAAAGACCGTTTTGCCTTTATTTATTTAATTTTTGATTAATTTATTAATTATTAATTATTAATCCATTAAAAGAAATCGTTTATTAATATTTATCACTACCACCGTCTACCGGTACTCAAGCACCATTCCGGTTCCTCCCTTCAACCACATCGACCAAGTTGCAGGAGAAAGATGATGTTGTCGGAAGCAGATGGCCTCGCCGGAGGAGAAGATGAAGTTCATCGGAAAAAAAACCTACAAAATGGGAGGGGTTTCATGAAGCTAATCGGAGAATATGAAGGGTTTACAGATATGAGATGATGAGGTCGTCTCAGGTACAGATATGAAGGAGGTACCTCCTCGCCGACACCACCCTCACCTGATTCATGCAATCCCTTACGAACAACACGCTCTACTACAACCTCCCCATCAACACAAAGTTCAGAAACCCTAACCGCCGATTGGGGATCTACTATGCTTTAGTTCACCGTTTAAAAGGGAACAACCGATGGCTCTTAGTGGTGGTGATAAATCGAGGTTGTATTTCTCAGTAATTAGGAACCACTACCAACATACTTGCAACCTCCAGTTCTGATTCTGCGTGTTTATCCCCACAAAATGTCTTAACACAGACGTTGTCTTCTTCTTCTCCCTCTAATCGATCGCCAGAAGCATCTTCTTCCTGCTTTCGCTTCAATTGAGTATAGATCAAATTTTCTTCTTCCATTTTTTTGTTTGCTTGATCACTGGTTTCATAAAGTTGTTGGCTTGGTTTGGCTTTTATGGTTAAGATCATTTTTTATATAGATCAAGGCTGATTCAGAGAAAATAAGGGGTTATGTTGGTTATGGTGGACTGTTGGTAAGAAAGAGGGAAGAAGGGTTAATCGGCTCTGTTTCTAAGAGAAAAATAGGTGATGGTATGACGGTGGTGATGAGGGTTTAGAATGGAAAGAGATAGGATACAGTGGGCATGTTTTTTATTTTATTTTGTATATTGTAGATTTATAGGAAAAATAAATTAAATCAAAAAAAGAATAAAAATGACAATTAGTCGCAAAGATGAAATGTGTAACTTAAACTAATGTCGTGTAATTTACCCTTTATATTTTCATATTTCAAGTTTAAGCAATCATGCCTATATAATTCTTCATAAGGCAAAAAGAAGACACACCAATCGCTTACTTCTCCCAAGACAAGATGCAAATAGTTAGGAATACAACAATTATCATCAAAGGTGAAACCTCTTTACTTCAACACCAAGTCACATATCACGTCCACTCAAATCACCATATAAACACAAATCCATTTTTTATTGCTGGCATTACTTCAGATTTCATTAAACTCCCACTTTAACAAGTTCAACCTATTACAATCCAACCCCACAACTTCAAAAAAAAAAAAAAAAAAAAATCACAAACCCTTGCTTTTTAATTTTATCTTTTTATCTCAAAGCTTAGGAGTTGGAGGAGCATACCAACCCCAAGCATCATCAGAAATATAACGAGTCACCTGCTTTACGCTCAAATAATTCTCAAGTCCCCTGAAAACAACACAACAGATATAAATATAATACAAAGTCATATAATATGCAAATAAACTTGTTATTAAAATACATTTGCTATTTCTTTGATTTAATCTTGAAAAAATATTACCATTCTCCTAGTTCACGACCAAATCCACTTCGCTTTTTCCCACCCCACGGAGCTTGAGAGAAGCAAGGCTGGGAGCAGTTTACCCAAACAATACCTGCCTCAAAAGCCTACAAAACACCATATATAAATTCAAATTAAACAATTTTTTTTTATTAATTTAAATAATAATAATAATTAAAAGAATAATAATAATAATGTTCTTGTACCCTTGTCACACGATCACACCGGTCCAAATCGTTGGATATAACAGCAGAACCCAGACCATAACTGATGCAATAATATAAACATAAAAAAAAAAGTTTCACACAAAATATATATATATATATATATATATATATATATATATATATATATATATATATATAATAGTTAACTCACTGGGTGTCATTTGCTAATTCGATTGCTTCTTCTTCTGTTTTAAATGATTTTACGCATAAAACAGGTCCAAAAACTTCCTCTCTCCAAATTTGCATGGATGTGGTGACATCACTGATTATTGTTGGCTCGATAAAAAATCCGGTTTTTAAATGCTGAAATATTTATTATATTTTATATAATATAATATGTAAGTTCACAATTTAAAAATTAATTTATAATATGACATTAGAGACTTACCTCGGGACGTTTTCCTCCAAATGAAATGGTTGCACCTTCGCTTTTGGCTGTTTCAACAAACTTCAATATCTTCTCATACTGAAATATTGAATAGTTTACAAATTAATCTTTTTTGTAACAAAGATTGAGAAATTCTTATTTGGTTAATTAATTATATATTTATTTTCTACCTGTCCACCACTAACAACAGGCCCAAGCCTACATCCTTCTTCTAATGGATCTGAAATCTTGATATTTTTAGCCCACTTCACAAGCTTCTCTAAAAACTCCTTAGCAATACTTTCCTGAAAAACATGAAAACAATCATAGTTAACTCTAATTATTGAATAATCATTAATTACTACAGACTTACATGCACTATGAGTCGAGAAGTTGCACTGCAGATTTGCCCATTTGTCCAGAAGCAACCAAACAGTGTCCACTCAACAGCTGTTTCAACAAAAAAGCAAAAACTTATTATTAAATGCAATATTTAAAAAAAAATGGGAAAGTTAATCAATTAGCCAAGATGCAAAAATAAACCTTTATCAATATCAACATCATCAAACACAACTATTGGACTCTTTCCACCAAGCTCAAGTGTAACAGGCTGCCAACAAAACATAGCCCTGTTAATTTTTCTTTTCTAAAAAAAAAAAAAGTTGATTTACTTTTCTTTTTCTTATTATTATTATTGATAGGAGTGGAGTGAGTACCTTGACATTTTGAGCTGCTGCAGTCATAATCTTGCTTCCTGTGGCACTGCTTCCTGTAAATGCAATCTGTTTTAAGAAGCATAATAATGTTATTGGAATGTGATTTTGGATTTATAAAAAAGATGAAGGGTAGAGTATAAAAAAGCAATGGGAATTAGACCTTATCAACATCAGGGTGAGAAGCCAAAGGGGCACCTGCTTCTGGACCTAATCCAGTTAGGATATTGAGAATACCAGGGGGAAGACCTACCTCCCTGCATATTTCACCTAATTCCAGGCAAGTCCTGGAGTTGAATACCAATTTATGAAAATAAGTTGCATAAGAATGAAATGGAATAAGCAAGGTAATGGAATTGGAATGAATCATTGCATTCATGTTTCGTTTGCTGGTAAAAATGAAATCAATTTTCATATCATAAAATGGAAGGAATCACATTCCTTCATGTCTGTTTGGTATGATAAAATGGAATTAATAAAGTAACGGAATGGATCATGACACTCCATTGAAGGAATGGAATGAGCCATTCAAACATTAGTTTGTTTGATTACTGCATACCACACAAACAGCAACTAACAGCTTCTCTTCTCATTCCATTCCTTTGCCAATTCCATCATAACTAAGATTAGGGAGCCAAAGAATGCAGAAAGTGGGGATGAATAAGAACTTACACAGATGCCAATTCTGATGGCTTAAGTATTGCAGCACAACCCGCAGCCAGGGCAGGTGCAATTTTCCATGTAGCCATCAGCATCGGGTAATTCCTATAAAGATCGAAAAAGAAAAATAAATCTTTATTACAACCAAAGTGCTAAGATTATAAGTAATTCATAATAAAAATCAATTTCAATTGTAATTTGTAAACTTAAGGATGTGTGTTTAGACTTTAGAGAGAGCAAGTACCATGGAGTAATCAGCCCAACAACACCAATTGGTTCCCTAATGACATGACATTTGAATGTATCCATTGGAAGATCAATAGGTGCGTTTTGCTTAGCATCCAAAGCTTCAGCAAGATCAGCATTATATTCAAAACATCCAGCCACATCATCCTGAATTTGAAAAGATATATCAGATATTTAAAAGTTGAATAAAAAAATACTAATAACAATATGATGATATGCAATGAACATACTATATCCCATGCTGCTTCATCAAGTGGTTTTCCATTATCAATGGCTTCAAGTTTTGCTAATTCCGGTTTTTTCTCAGTTATCTGCACATGAAAAGCTTATAAACTTTGATAAATTTCCAAAACAAAACAAATAAACCACTAAGAACGTATTTATTAACTACAAAAGCGATAAATTTTCAACAAAACTGAACACACACCTTTGCAGCAATGGCACGCAGATACTTGGCACGATGTGCTCCAGAAGCTGTTGCCCAGTCTTTTCCTCCATTGCGTTTAAGAGCTTTACGAGCTGCTTTCACAGCAATATCAACATCTTCAGATGTAGCTGCTGGGATATCCCCTGCAACAGTAATAGTCAGTCAAAAAAGCTCACGAACACATACAGATCTCGCATGTGATCCTCGATTTTAGACCTGGATATCAACCTCTTGACCTAACATAACGGATCTTCTACGACAAATTCGGTTGATTCGAGCGTCTTCTAACGAATAGGGTTAGACAATCATAGAAAGTGTCCAATTTTTAAAAAAAATATAAATATATATAGACACAGAATCTACACAGTAGAACCGATACTTATTATATTTAAAAAACATAGAAGATTCTCTGAAGTTTGTGAAAAATATTACCGATGATCTGCTCGGTGGCGGGGATTTATGACAGGGATTCGATTCTTCCTAACAGGCTCCCTCCATTCTCCGTCTATGAATAACTGACGCGATGGTATCGAGATCGCCATATCTAACTAATTAACAGTGCAATCACTTCAAAAATTGTTCGGATGCAGCGAGTTACTCCGACCACCGAACTACGGTTGCTAAAAGCTTTAAACTCGACGGCAGCTGAAAGTTAAGCGGCTACTCGTCAAGGGCAGCGGCTGCGACACCAACGGTAGATTGCCAAGATCAGGTGTGTCGCGTTCCTAGTTAAGCTCCGTAGTTACTACGTCGGGTATATAGACGTGTTCAAATCCGGTGAATCTTATCTCGAGGATTGTTTTGATTTGATTCCATGTGCCATCTCATATCACCGCCATTATCTATATTCTATTGTATTATTTTTCGTTTCCAATTCTTTATCGGGTTAAAAACAATATCGACCACCCTTGAGAAATAATTTTATTAATTTTTTAATTGGTTCAGGTCGCTAATGTTTGTGTCGCGTTTTGTAAGCGAATCTTGAATACCCGAGTGGTAAAACCTCTGAGTTTTCCTGCAGGACAGCAGGAGGTTGAGGGCTTTGAAGTGAACCCTTTTGCTTCGGCTTTTTTTTTTACGCATGTCATGAGTCGGACTATCCAAGTTTTGATTTTTACATTCTGACTCGTATTTTAATTTTTGTTATGGATTTTGTCCAAATCTTATTTTGATCATGAGTATCATTCAACATCTTACCATTTTTTTGACTTTGTCATTTCAGCATCATATCGTTTTCTCTCCACTCTCCTCTCAACCTACATTACTATCCTTCACTATCTTTTACCCTTCATTTTTTTAATATTTGAATATGTATAAATAATATATCAATGTATATTTCATTTGTAGAAAGTAAGGATTTGAAATTGAGGAATGAACTTCCGTTTTCTATATTAATTAAATCACAGGTACAATAATAAATATACACGTAGCATACAAACAAGCTATTAATCTACAGTCTGTTATTCAGGATCTAGATAACATTTAAATCTAACTACCATTCCTTATCTTGCTCTCGTCAACACTCCCCCTCAAGGTGGTAAATGTATGTCCATCATTCTCATCTTGTTAAGAGAGCAATGAAAGACTCTCCCACATACGACTTTCGTAAGCATGTCTGCAAGTTGATCTTCAGAAGCAACATGAGGAAGCTCAACAGTTTTTCTTTTCAATGTGGTCCTTAATAAAATGTCTATCTATTTCTACGTGTTTAGTCATGTCATGTTGAACTAGATTATTGGTCATTTTCATAGCAGACTCATTATCACAGTGAAGTTGCATCGGAGCTGTTAGAGATATCCTCGGATCTCTTAAGACCCTTTTTTATCTATATGAGCTCGCATACACCATGGACCATTCCTCTAAATTATGCTTCTACACTCGATCTCAATACAACCTTCTCTTTTTTGCTTCTCCATGTAATAATATTTCCACCCACAAATGTGAATATCCTGAAGTGGCTTCCCATCTGTTCGATCTCCAGCCCAATCTGCATCTGTGTACCCACTAACTTGGTGATCTCGACTATTTCCAAAAAAATGACCCTTTTCCTGGTGATGATGTGATGTACCTTAAAATTCGGTACGCTGCTTTCATATGATCTTCACTTGGAGCGTGCATGAATCGACTAACAACACTTACATCATATACTATATTCGGTCTTGTATGAGACAAGTAAATGAGCTTTCTCACTAGTTTTTGATACCGATCTTTATTAGTGGGAACTTGGTCCGGAAGAATTGTCAACTTGTGGTTGGTTCCAATAAGTGTATCAGCGAGTTTACATTCTAACATACCAGACTCTGTCAACAAATCTAGCACATACTTCTGTTGGCACATCGTGATTCCGGACTTCGATCTGGCTACTTCAATCCCTAAGAAATACTTTAGGTATCCAAGATCCTTGAGTTCAAATTCAGTATCCATAATTGCTTGGAGCCTTTCCATTTCTTTTGTATCGTTTCCAATGACGACTATATCGTCAACATATACTATCAAGGCTGACACTTTTCCGGTGTTGGATTTCACAAACAATGTATGATCTTCGTCACTTTTTTTTATACTTTATACCCGATTTGCTTCATGAAGTTTGAGAATCTGCCTAACCATTGTAACGACGTAAATTTTAAAACAATTTTTCATTTTTCAAACATAATAAAACTCATATAATATTCTCAAAATCTCATGTATCAATGTCATCACAATAAACATATCCCAGAATCTCAACACATAATTTTCTGCCAGTGTGTACAAATCATGTCGGCGCCTTCCCGCGACCCTCGCTGGTACCTGAAACACATATCACATAACACGGTAAGCATAAATGCTTAGTGAGTTCCCCAAAATACCACACACAGCACATAACCCACTCGAGGCTATAACTCGGTATGACCCTCCGGTCAATGTGTCTCAGCGGGACCCTCCAGTCTCGTAGCTCGTTGGACCCTCCAGTTCGGTCTAGCTCGTTGGACCCTCCGGTCCGGTCTAGCTCGTTGGACCCTCCGGTCCGGTCTAAATCGTTGGACCCTCCGGTCCGGTCTATATAACACATAGCATACATATATCACAATGTACATAAACTCAAACATACACATAACACATAAGACCCTCCAGTCTGCACATAGTTACCATTCTAGGTAATGTATAGTGACAAGACTCACCTCGATGATGTCTAGTAAACTCTCGTGCTCGATATCCCCGATCTAGCCTCCGCCTATCAAAATGATAATATCTCTAATCAATAATCTCTTTATATCCTCATCTCTAAAGAATGGGTAGAAGACCATTCTACCCCTCCATAGCCTCTCTTGAATCAGTTTGACCAAACCCTAAGGTCAACTGAAATCAACTCCAGTCAATGGTCTAACTTTGACCAGACTCGCCGAGTGCACTCAGGTGACTTGGCGAGTCCATGCGTGTCCTCAGACTCCTCCGAAGGCCCCACTCGACTCGTAGCGACGTTAACCTCTCACTCGACGGGTTTCCACTGATCACGAATCGCGGGGCAACACGATCCTACTCGTCGAGTCCTCTCATGGACTCAGCGAGTTTCCTCCATGGCAACACTCATTTGACCTTCTGAGGTCAGATCTGTTTCTCTAACTTATAGATCTGGCCTTCTAGCACCCAAAAGTCACGTAAAGGTCTGATCTTGATGTCCATGCATGGCATATTTCGCTCAATATGCCATTTAGACTCCATTAAAGCTTCCTAACCTCCAAACCCCATGGTTGCACAACAATGGCTTTCTACTTTCTGACTTTCTAGACCTTACAAGGTCCATATCTATGCTACCAGCTCACAAGAGGGGTTTGATGAAATCAAAACCCCACCAAGAAGATAATACAAGCCCTAATCCTCAAAAGGAAGATCTACACAATTAGGGAAGAAAAGGGGTCCGAATTGATACCCTCCAACTGATGCTCCTAGGTTGTAAATCGCGGATCTACAACCTCCTCTGGCCCCTTTAGCTTGAAACCTCCTTCTTCCTTGCAAACCATCCACCAAGAAGCTCAAAATGGCTCTCTCTCTCTTGCCCAAAACACCAAGGACTCATTTAGGGTTCTCTCTTCTGAAAGGTAGTCGCAATAGGAGGCCTTAAGAGCCTCTAAATAGGCCCAGGCCCAAGAGAATTAGGGTTTCTGTCAACAGCGCTGACTCGGCGAGTCATCTCTCCGACTCGTCGAGTCCATTCATTAACCACGTCACCAAGTCGCGACCCTACTCGACGAGTTGAGGCATCGACTCGTCGAGTCCCTCCAAAGTCCTTGAATTAAATACTCAAAACAATATACCTGGTAAACCGGATGTTACAACCATGCACGTGAAGACCGTTTCATCCTGTATAATGCTTTCCTTAGTTTGCATACCTTCCCATTACATATGATGCATGGTGGTGGATCCATGTATACTTCATCTTCAAGATGTTCGTTTAAGAAAGCATTCTTTACATCAAATTGTTTGAGAGGCCAATCTTCATTGGCAGTGATGGAGACAAGGATACGAATTGTGTTAATTTTTGCTACCGGTGTAAAGGCATTTCCATAGTCAATTTCATATTTTTCTGTGTATCCCTTCGCCACTAATCTTGCCTTGAATTTGTCTATTTTTTCTCCTGAGTCAAGCTTCACGGTGTATATCTACCTACATCCCATTGTCTTATTTCCACTCGGAAGCTTAACTAACTCCCATGTTTTGTTCTTTTGTAACGCCTTCATCTCTTCATTCATTGCTTTCCTCCATCTTTCGTCTTTCACAGCTTCTTGCACGTTGTTTGGTATGAAGACTGTAGTCAGTTTATCAACTAGAAATGCATGTGAGCTTGTGAAGCAGTGATGTGACACGTAGTTAGATATAGGATACCTTCATTTTGCTTTTATATCCGGCACGTAATGTTTCTTTGGTATTCCTCTGTTACTTCTTATGAGGTACCTTGGATCAGTTTCTTCTTTGTCTAAAACTGGCATAGAAGAGTCAAACATAAATTCTAATATGTTAGTATTTACATCTTCGTCATTTCTCGTGACTGGGTGTGGTTCTGTGATGACAGGACCGGGTTCGGTGGTGACATTAGGATCGAGTTTGATGGTTACATTTGTTGAATTAGTGTCTTAGCCCATAACTATTTTGGTATGTACTTGACCCGATTGCGAGCATGGTCCTTTTGGGTTGCCTTTACCAAAGCAACTTGATAGGATGATTTATGGAGAAAGAGATTAATGATGATTTATTAATATATTATATGAATAATATATTAAAAGAGAAATCATATTGTTTAATTAATATTAGTCAAGAATTAATCAGAATTAATTTTGTGGCTAAAAGACATTAATTAAATAAAGGAGACTGGAACTGTCAATTGTGTGATAGTTGGATATTGGGCTAATGGACTCCATAGAGGATGGAGTGGACGAAATCTATGGGGAAACCCATTAGAATTCGTTCAAGGCCTCTAAAGGAGGAGTCCATGGCTTGCTTAGGGCCTAAGCAGTCAAATTAGGGTTTCCTTGTTAGATAACCCTAATAGTCTCACTATTTAAGGACCCCCTAGGGCACCAAAAATGTGGCTAAGAGTTCCCTTAGGGTTTCTAGACGTTTTTTAGTGCCTCTCCTCTTCTCCTTCTTCATCCTCTTGCTCTTGGTGTTTGTGAGCCATTAGAGGAGTGATATTTGTGACTCTAAGCTTTTAGAAGCCAATTACAAGAAGGAATTGAGATTGTTATTGCTACATAACAATCAAGGTAAGATCTAAACCCTAATTCATATGTTATTTGATTATCACATGCTAGATCTAGGGTTTATGGCTTTGGATGATTATTGCATGTTCATTAGACAAACTAGATCCAAAGCTTTAGGGTTTGCATGTACACCATAGGAATGTTGTAGTGCTCAAAACCCATCAGTCGTATCAGAGCCTAGGGCTGTTTGTTGATGAATTTGTTGCATATTTGATCATTCTTTGGCTGAAAAATCGTTTTTTCTTGCTATCTGCCTGACTGACTCGGCGAGTCAGTGGATGAACTCGGCGAGTCCAAGGGTCAGACAGAGGTATCTTCGGGATTTTTTGCTGATTTGGCTTGGATAAGTTACC